AATCATAATAAATTAGTTGTAAATTTTTAAAAAGTAAATATTGGATAATATAAAAATCTATGTATTTTTCTGACGCTAATGTAAAAACACATTCTATATTAAAACCGTTTACATTCTATATACAATCTATAAAAACAAAAATGCACACCTTTAAAAATTCTGGAAAAAAACAGCTGAGCTAATTAGGTTTCTGATGTGGGCTTCGGTGGGAGAGAAAGAATGTGAAATCTCATGATGAACTCGACATAAAATCTGGGTAAAAAGTTCTGGGTAAAAGTTCCAATAATTACCTTTTTTTTTTAACCACAAACAAGTCAATCAGCCACTTATCTTGGGTACAATATATCTACTGGGACAACACTGGTCATTATTACAGCAAACATAAGGTGTGACGTTGCAGAATCCAGACGTTATGTGGCAACAGATGAGGACTGGTTAGCCTTTTATACACCCAGCAGATGTTAACGGTGAATGAGCTTCTTTTTTTTTTTTTGTCAAATACGGTTTCATAAGGACAAACACACAATGACACACCCTTAAGTTACAATGAGAGAAAGCAATTTAAGCAAAGACAGCCCATCCCTAAGGTCCCAACATCCCAAACCCGACATTTTACAGCATTTACTGTACATTATGCAGAACTGGAGGAATTTCTCTTCTACGTAACAACCTCACCTTCTCCAAATATCCTAAAATTTACATGCATACATACACACAAAGGTCTGTAAACATCACTCTTTAAGTTTGGAAGGAGTTGGAAGGAGATCGGTCTCTGTGCTTGTCTTGTGAGCTTAAAACAGGAATTTCTGGAGCAAGGCATATAATATCCTGCTTAGATAACCTGGCTATATATGCTGCAGACTGTGGTATCAAACATTTCACACGCAGTTTCATAGTACAGCCTGCATGTGGTTCCTCATGGAGCTGAAAGTCTTGCGAGTGGGTTTCTGGCTCTTAGAGAACATTGCATAATCATCACAGACCCAGCGGAAAGCAGACCGACACTGGATTCTTTATGTGAAACACAAACACACACACACACACACACACACACACACACACACACACACACACA